GCCATTTCACTGTCATATTAAGGCCAGCGATTATCAATCCATATTCCACAGACAAAATTTGCTTACTTTGTGATAGGTGTTGTTGGAACATAGCCCAGCCCATTCCTGTGTGTCTTGTCAGTGACTGCTGTCGCACTACAGTGGCTAAGTTTGCTGATCCATGATTATTGAAATGGTTAGAGTTAAAACTACCTTGTTTCTGTTTTTCATTATTTGTCTTTTTTCCCCTCTTTTTTCCTTTTCTTTTTCTTTTTCTCTTTTTCTTTTTTTTTAATGGGATCGTTTAGTTATTTTTCAGCATTCAGTTTCCTTTATTGAGTAAACAGGATAAAAGGGAGCCAACAATAGGACAATAACATGACAAGATAAATCTCTCCGTATCAGTTATAATCGTCAATGTTAATGGTCTCGATTCACCAATCAAAAGAAACTAACTGGATCAAGAAGCAAGATCCAACAATATGCTGCATACAGGGAACACATTTTATTGAAAAAAGAATTCAGAGACTGAAATTCTAAGGATAGAAAACAGTACTGCATGTGACAGCAACCCAGATTTCCTTTGTTAGCTTACTAACCATGACTTCTTTTTCTTGGCTCTAAGGGCCTAGGGAATGAGTTTGGAATGTCTTGACTCTTGCTCATACTTCATGAACCTTTCTGGCTTCTGGTATAGATTGAATAGAACTGCATTTTTCAAGAGATAAACCTCTAAGACATGGCGATTAATTCATTTTGATTCACTTTTGAAATAGCAATTAAGATACAGGTCTGTGTCTCTGCAGGCAACCATCAATATTGTTTTTGATCGAGTTGGAAAAACTGATCCTGTCACAAGAGGCATTGAGATCACTGTGAATTACCTAGGAATCCAGTTCGATGTAAGAGTTCTATTAACGTCTTGGTTTATTATGGTTTTTTTGTTTTATCTGCTGTAACAGATTTACATTGTTTAAGACTCTACTTCCCATACTTGAAGTACTTGCCTCCATATCTGTTCTTCCTGTGGTCCTCTAGAAGTTGACATTTTCACATGGCACATTTGTAACAGGCCAGGTTTCTCATTCGTAACCTAAATGCATAAGTCACAACTGGTACTTTATTGTCGTAGTTGCTGATTACCTCTACAGTTCTGCTTCTCTGTAGCCAGCTACTACCCTGCCAGTTTCTTCCCACCAACTATTTAAATCCTTCTCTGTGTGCTCTTTAATGAGTTCTGCAGGCACACAACACCTTTGATTCCCCTGGTAGAAAATTAACTGCTAATTAGTGTTGCATGTTAGACCTGAAGTAATTTCAGTTATAAAAAAGATCTTTATCAATTAATGTGAACCTTGGACTAAAGATGGTAACTATCAACTGTGTACAAAGTTGGATTTTTTTTAATCATCCTATGTGCCTGTTTGATAAAACCACTGTCATAAACACACCCTTGCCCCACTTTTAGTCCAATGCCCCTATCCATAGAGTAGTATGTTTTATAGGTATATGTGTTGGCAATGATTTGGGCTGATTAACACTTTAATAATAAGGCTGATGTCAGCCAGGCATGGCAGTGCACACCTGTAATTCCTGCACGCTGAGAGGGTAAGGCAAGAAGGTTGTAAGTTCCCAGCCTGGGCAACTTAGCAAAACTCTGTCTCAAAATAAAAATTAAAAAGTTTAGGGATGTAGCTCAGTGTGATGGCTCTGGGTGCAGTCTCCAGTCCGATATAGAAAACAAAGACTGATGCCACATTCTTGATCCCATTGTGACCCATTTAACTGGGCCCTGATTTCAGACACAGACTGCCTGCCACGTCCAGTCTTCCATCTCAGCAGGACATGCTTCTGATCTCAGGGATAGCTAAAGAAAACAAGAATGAAGCAGAGCAAAGTAAGCGCCAGTCCTTAAGAAACAGCTCAGAGTACACATTTCTTGACAGATTATGTCTCCTTTTTGCAAATAAAGGAACATGATACCTTTTCTGAAGAGGTACAAAAACTCTGCTGTTGTTGGCCCTTGGGCTTTACTCATTTAAATTTTTTACTGGGTTAAATTTTTAGAAATGCTCTCTCAGTGGTTCCTGAAATAGCTTACTTCCATGGCTTGCTTGCTGTGTATATAGACCATCTGTAATTGACCTGTGTCCTCCATAGTTCATGATTCTGAATAGCAGGTCTTTTAGATGTTAGCATTGGCAGCTTTTAGATACTTGTCAGAACTGAATCCCAAAACTGCTTCTATCAAGCAGTGCAGGAGAAGACAAAAGGACTATGTGATTCAGGTGACATTCCATGTCCTAGAGTAATAGCTGAGGTCTATTCAGGTGACACTCCATGTCCTAGAGTAATAGCTGAGGTTTATTCTTTTTATTAAAAAAGAGTCCTTGAAGTTTTGTGTGATCAGAGAATTACCATTCATAGACATTAAAAATAACCAAGGTGTACTGTTAATTTTGAGTTTTTTTCCTTTTAATTCTCTTGATTTATCATGAACTGTGTCATTAGCTTGCTTGCTTTTTTCTGTCCTTAAGGTTTGATTCACTGGCTAACTCAGGTATCTGCCGTTTCCTGCAGGGATTTCACTCACCACTTTCTCGCTTGCTCTCACCCCTGCAAAGGGCTGGGGTGTGTTAAGTTCCATGTCACCATCACAGAAGTGATTGGAATATTTAGCCAGCCCATCTTTCTGAGTAGAGACTTACAGACATTTCCTTTCTGTTACGGTGACAGGTGAAGTTCTGGTCCCAACACATTTCCTTCATTCTAGTTGGAATAATCATTGTTACATCCATCAGAGGATTGCTGATCACCCTCACCAAGGTACGCTGTATTTCAGTGTAGAAGGTACTTCTGTATCTGATTGCATATGGTACCATGAGGTCGTGTTACCCAGTCAGGCTCTCTGCCCTTTGAGATCACAAGATTTTAAAAAAGAAAATTATTATTTTAACGGAATAAAAATGTTAAACTGCTAAATAAATCGATGACGGTGTGTGACATCAGTCGCAGTTAAGGTCTACAGGTAATAAAGATCTGTTTTGTTCATGGATATATCACCACCATCTATAATAGAATTTGGTAGGTGGTAGGCATTCTGCAGTTTAGAAGAATTTCTAAAACATTTGAGTTTAGAAGAATAATTATGAGTTATTTGTAACAGATACAGAAGCAGGGGAACAAAATATTCAGCTGTTTTTTGATCAAAATAGAAAGGCTTCATAGAGAGGGAAAGAGAATCCTCTCTGGTAGAAAAGGTAGAAATTTCTTGGATCTTACAGCCATTTGAAAGAAGAGAAAGTTAGGAGATCTCTCGTCATCTAGCACAATTTTGGGGAGAGCGCAATAGCCCAATCTTAGAGTTGCCCTAAAATGGAATTACCCATTTTATGTTTTAGGGTGATGCTAAGGTCTTTTGCAGCTGAGTGACTAAAGGTGGATAGCATTAGAATCCTTTCGTATGTTTTAATGTAAAACCGAAAACCACCGACTGCCCTGAGGGGAAAACTGTAACTCTACTCTGCTTTAAGGCATCTTCTAGCCTTAATCGTCAGAATTGTTCTATGTAAGGCTGTGGCAGGGAGGAGACACCTTTAATTAAAGGTTAACCATGTTACGGCTTCACAAGCATCTAGCAGTAGTGTTTTAAATCCTTTTTCTTTCCTTAACAGTTCTTTTATGCCATCTCAAGCAGTAAGTCCTCCAATGTCATTGTCCTGCTATTAGCACAGATAATGGTGAGTTTAATGAATAGCTGTATGTTTTCAGCTATCAAATAATAGTTATGTGTTTTAAGTGATTAACAATTTCTTCTCACCTACCCCTCACTACATTCAAAGTAACTTGTGGATTAATTGGTTTGATTTACAGGGCATGTACTTTGTCTCCTCCGTACTGCTGATCCGAATGAGTATGCCCCTGGAATACCGCACCATAATCACAGAAGTCCTTGGAGAACTGCAGTTTAACTTCTATCACCGTTGGTTTGATGTCATCTTCCTGGTCAGCGCCCTTTCCAGCATACTGTTCCTCTATTTGGCTCACAAACAGGCACCAGAGAAGCATGTGGCACCTTGAACTCAAGCTTATTACAGACTGTTAGAACCCAATGGCGTCAGAATTTGAATCTGAGGAAAAGCAGTGGAGGGGACTAGGGCCTAATATTTGTAAACAAAATGCTATGGTTCTACCTCATGTTCTAACTCCAACATATACCTTTCTCCTCACATGATACTGTGGTCATAAGTAGCGTCAGCTAGAACTGAGAGGGAGGAGTAACTTCAGGCAGTACTCAGCGGTGAGCATGGAGAGTTGTGAGGGCAGGGAAGCGGGGGACGAGACTGCACGGGAACGGGGGCAGGAGCTATCTATAATAACTGGGCCAGTCACTGGATTTTTAAGTCAGAGTTCATGTGGAAAAGGTTATGTCTTTCCCTTAAGCTTAACCATTAAACTTGGGATTTTAACACTTTGGCCTTAGATTCACTTTATCAAGTATAGCTTATTATGCTCATGTGATCTACAACTTGAGTTGGCACCTCTCCTCCCCGCAACCTCTTTCCTATTAAAATAACCAGGAGTTATCTGTTGCTTCTGAGAAAGAGATAGTGAACAACTGAAGATTTTCTTTTAAATTAGTATGAGTCAATACCCTAATTTTTTTTTTTTTTTTTTTGGTGGAACCGGGGATTGAACTCAGGCCCTTGCGCTTGCCAGGGAAGCGCTTATTCTACTGAGCCATCTCCCCAGCCCCGAAATCCCTACGTTTAATTTGGTAACGATGTGTCCCACCTTTCCGTGCTGTGGGATAAAAAAGTAAATAAGAAAAGTCACTTTCCTATCCTGGAACTCAAGCTCTTTTACAGATAAAAATGCTGAAAAAGTTTTAAATACTCAAATGCAAACTAACAAATTCTTTTTTTTTTTTTTTTTAAATCTTATTCTATATTTTGTGTTTTGGGTTTCTAGAAGCAAATGAAGATTATCCAAAACAAAAGCACTATTAAGATTACAGCAGGTAGTAGAGAAATTAAGCATACTCAAGATATCTTTAATAGTATTTTAGCAACCACATTTTTATAAAAGCATAATTTTAATGGGATTATCCGCTTCAATATTTTGGAGATGGATGAATCAGCCTTGGTGCTCAAGGAGCCTATAAAAGAGATCATCATACAGAGAAATGTAGCGAATCTAAAGCTTGGAACAGAGCACAAAGGGGCTCCTGCCTTAGAACCTCCTAACTTGCCCATAAAGGAGCTCCTTGTGATAGCAGCTCCAGGGCAAATAACAGTCACACATGATGGTTTCCAAAACAGTCTTGGCTAACACAGAAGGCGGGTGGCAGCTCTTTCCTTCGTTGAGACAGCAGTTTCTGGAAATTTAGTAGGAATCCCGTCCGCTGAAGCCACGATTCTGATCACATCTTTGTGTCTTCAGAACTGGAGGAAGAATTTGAGGCTGTACTGTGGGCCTGTGCAAAAGAAAACAAGGATTACAGCAGTGAGTGTGAGCAGCTAGAGTCGGATGACTCAAGTCGAGCAGGAGCCACTCACTAGCAGGCAGGTACTATGAGTTCAGCTTGTGGCCTTATTTCCAACATGCTCTTTGACATAGTAACACATTTTTTAATGCCTACGTGTATCTTTTCTACAATGGACCTCTAGTGGACTTTTCCTACAAGGCAACTAGAATATTTTTTTGTTGAGCTTTCCAGAGTATAAGTCAGTGTCTGTTTTGTGTGTTCATTATTTATTATTTACATCACCAATCAGTAGAATTAGTATATTAGAAAAAAAATACTATTTACCTTTAGATTCCTGACTTTGCCATAAATTTCCTTTACAAATGTGGATAAGTCATGTCAGTTTTGGATCTCATTCATGTATGAACAACTGGACCAAAATGTAAAGCCAAGACCTACCAAGGAATTTATCTAATTCAAATATATACGGAATGTTTAATCTTTCCTAAGACAGTTGTGACATCTGCCAAATACAGTGGTAACTCAGTTTACAAAATTAACTTGTTTTACAATTTTGGGACAGTGGCTGTGTTTGTGTGGGGAGGATGGTCATGGTTTTGTTTGTCACCCAGTGTGAAGCCTGTGTTTGTAAATATTGTCCCTAATCACCATTTTTATGCTCACTTTGCACCAGCTGCTATTCAAAGTATTGTTAATAGTCATAGGTAATATATTTTGATAACAACTCTATAAATCATCCCTCTTTTAGAGGTGGGGTAGAGCAAATAAATCTGTTTACCCAACACTAATAAGTGACAGAACTATAATTTTTACCTAGACGACAGTCTCACTCAGGCTCTTTTCCATTATAATTTTAATAAACTTGTTTCTTGATTTAGCACCCTACCAACTGAATGCTGTGACAATGAATTGTCCTTATTCTGCCTCCTAAGATAGCTTATTATCTTTGTATTATCACTTTCCAGAATTTTAGAAAATCTGTGGTGTGGGCATGAAGTAGATTCATTAAAGCCTGAACTGTGCTCCAGGGCACGAAAGATGAGAAACAGGAAGCATCACTGCTGCTCACCCGCTCTTTCACCAGGCATGAGGCGTGCGCCACCTCTGCCACCGTGTCTCCTTTGGCATCCAGGCAGACATCCAGCAGGTCAGCCATGGAGGAAACAATTGGAATTTTCTTAGCTTGGAAGTAATTGTAGGCCTTCCTTCCACAGACTAAGAGTGTGACTTCCTTCCCGCTGCTCTGGATTCTGTCCACCACCTTCTCGTAGGGTTCATCCAACACATTCACCCCGTCCACCTCAATGATAACATCCTCATTCTCCAGCCCAGCTGCATCAGCAGGGCCGCCCTTCTGAACCTGTGAACATGAGGCTCTAAGTTAGTGATTCCAACAGGAGAAAGCGCATTAGGCTAGCTTCCCTTCAGAGGTGGTGGTTGAAATTTACTCTTAACCACATTTCTCCTTGAGGTACAGAAGAAAGGTTCTTCAATGCCTTTCTACTTAGGAAAGCTACAACTTCATTCTCATATGAGTATAAACTGGTTGGGAATCATATTGTCATAGTTATGTATTGTGGGCAGAGGGCCTTAGATTCCATAGGTCTCCCTCCTTCGCACCCAACTTGAGAGTTTATAGGGATGGTCTGTTCACCACCAGTCCCCACTGGGGAGAGGATTATGCCGCCTGAAGAAAAACAAGGGTCTCAGGGTTGACAGTGAATCAACCTGAGTCGTGTCAGCTCACTGTGTTTATTTTATTTGAAAGTCTAGAAAGAACTGAATGGAATCTGGATGGATCTGTTTGTAGGCTGTAAAACTACTGTAGTTCCCTAACCAGGAAAGGTATAAAAGGTTGGTTACAGATATTGGGAAGCAAAAGATGAAATTATGACATAACTTAGAGGGCAGGGGAGTATCTGTATCCACGTGCAATGGCACACAGGCCTTCTGTAACCTTTCTACTAAGCTATCTACAGGCGGGAGAAGGTGCACTTGTCCTAACGTGATGTTCACTGCGCTGCTGGAACTGGATTACCATACCTCTTTGACGAATGAGCCTGGCAGACCCTGAATCGCATTTAAGTGAAAGCCATAGCCATTTTCACCTTTAACCAGCCTGCAGAGTTTAGGCTTATGATCTACTTCCTCTGTAGTGTCTGGACCTGAGACCTCCAGAGGAGCAGGAGCTGGGGCCTCCTTGGCAGAACCGTTAGGCAGTTCTTGATTTTGATAGTAGAGAAATGGAGAAAATTTGGCCTGTTGAAAATACAATAAATTGTAAGTATGAATAGTTGCACTTTAATATAGCTGGTTTTATTTTAAGTTGTAATGTGGATTCCATTCTTTTTCTGGATGGATCTGTTTGTAGGCTGTAAAACTACTGTAGTTCCCTAACCAGGAAAGGTATAAAAGGTTGGTTACAGAATATTTCATAAATACGTACTCAAATGCATATATGGACATAAAAGCAGTGTACAGTTCGGTACGATGATCCAAAAGTGTGGCTAACAAAAGTGCTAGTTTCTCCCGGCTGCACAGGAGTGAGCAAGTCACTGTCCACCCGTAGACAGCGCTCTCGGAAGACAGCACATCAGAGGAGCCCAGTACCACAGACCCAGATCAAAGTTTTTCTCTTCCCCTTAGTAACATGGTCCTTAGTGTTCCTTATCAGGATAAGGTAAAATAAAATACTTCTTTATCAATTTGAGTTTGAAGGCTCAGAGACAACAAGGCCAACCTGTACACACAATAATTAGGAAGTGGTCACATACTGTAACAAAAGTTAATTCCAGCCATTTGCTACTTGGCACCCTTGTGTCTCCATCCTGTTTGCTGTTCATTGTTGTGGCCTTTACCTAGCAGCTCTGTAGTACTATACTCCATAAGATCTTTAAATATCTACAAACTAGCTCAGCTACCTCCATTTGTATGCAGAATGCAGGGCTGGTCTTGAATAACAAGAGCAGCACCAAAAACAAGACTTCTTTTGTGGTAAAGATGGACTAGGCCTATTGCCCTGAGCTGTGTCCCCAAGTTTCTCCCCATTTTTTTGAGACTAGGTCCTAAATTACAAAATTGGCCAAGTGGGGCTGAAATTTGTGACCCTCCTGCGTCAGCTTCCTAGAGGACACTCGGCCTGCCTGGTACCACCATGCCTAGCTGTGACTGTTTTCTTAACAGAATTAAGAGCTTTACTGGCTGATATTTTAGTTGAGAGGGCCAGGATAACAGATTGGGGTTTATTATGAACTCGATTCAGGGTCCCTCTGGTTATTCTCCTGTCTTGCTAACCACAAGAGCATGCTTCCCCTCTGGTCACCCCGTTCAGCTAACTGCAGTTCTGGCCAGTGACCTTGTCCTACCTACTCTGGAATGTCTCCAGAATGTGGGAAATTATCACAGTGTGGCATTAAGTGCCAAAATAGTGGTGGAACTACCTCCACAAGTATGTCAGCTACATCTGGCAACTGAGTCAAGTTTGTTAAAGAACATGTTTAAACATCGAATGCATTTAGCCACCCACCACCTGGGTATCTGGGATCCAGTGAGTGCCAGGAACCTGATTTGCTCACTGTAGTGAGTTTGATGTACTCACGGCTACACTTCAAAGATCCACCGCCATCTTGGAGCTTGCTTTGAGGAGTAGGGGCAAGCATCATTTTAGAACAAAATTCTCTTATTAAATTCATCAAAATAGACAAAATAGTCACCTCATTCTGTCACAAGGCTAGGAAAATGCCAGCATCCCTCTTGCAGCAGCTGGGGCAGTGCCTGCTTGCTTCGGCTGGCCTCTTCCACTGCAAGAATGACTCATCCAGTTTCTGGCACCTTCAGTTTTCAAGCCAAAAATAGCTCCCTGTAGCATCTGCGCTTGGCCTGGCTGTGCCCTACAGATCACCTCAGAAAAACGGGCTGCTTCTCACATGCAGCCCCCTTTCAAGTTCTTGAAGGTGCTTTCCTTCTCCAAAGCCTCTGGCTTGTTCAGACTAAGTGCTTTTGTGGTGGCTTCTCAGATCTCTTCCCTGGCCACTTGTCATAGATCTTCCCAGAGTAGGATTCTCAGAACTGGATGGTGTCGGGGATTTGAGGGGCAGGGGTGTTACAAGTTGTCTGGGTTTTGTGGTGCTGGGGATCAAACTTGGGGCCTTGTGCATGCGAGGCAAGAGCTCTACCACTGACCCCACGCCCAGCCCCAGACACTGTTAACAAACATGACATTTACAAATGAGAGATCTTATCCCTTATGTTCTAAATATTACCTCAGTCTCTAGCTACCCTTTACGGTAACTAGCCCATCTTACTGTAAGGAAACAGGCACAGAGAGGATGACGTGCTGGAAGTCACACTAGTAGCACTAACATGTCTGAGGATTCCGACCAAGTCCGTACAGTGAGGTGATTGTCTCCAAAAGTGTCAATCAGTGTAACTTTACGTTGTTCTCTTTGGGTGGGGCAGCTTTTTAGAACATCAGGTCATCAAATTGAGACTCACCGTTTCATATTCATACACTGTACAACAAAGTTAGACTAGTACTTGAATTTATTCTCATTTAAATTCATTAGCTTCTAAACTTAATTCTTTCTATATTGATGAGATTTTAATTATACCCCCCTGCCAGTCATCTGTTTAAATCTTGTAAATGTATCTTAAATATGTTTTCCATGTCTCCATTCATAGGGACCATTGGGGACTTCTGTTCAGTATCAAGTGTTTTCTAGGTATGGTTGCTTAGCTTTAAAACATTTCATCATGTTTCATTTTTTCTTTTTTGTTTGCTTTTTGAACATGTTTTATTTTTTCATCTGGCTTACAAAAATACCTTTTTTTAATATATTTTCAGGGCCTCACTACATAGCTTGGACTCGTGGTGATCCTCTTGCTTTCAGCCTCCCCAGTGCTGGGATTACAGGCATGCACCACTACGTCTAGACTCTGGCCAGCTCAGTAGGCCCTAGTGAGGCTGGCCCGCTTGTGGTACCAGGGATCAAACTGTGGTCCCTGCGCTTGTGTAAGCAGGTGCTTCAGTCTGCTGAGCTATCTCACTGGCCCCCAACAAAAATATCCTGAAATGAATCTAAATGTGCTGAGGAGTATGGTGTGAATTAAGAGTCCAGGAACTTGGGTTCAAATTCTGACTTCAGTCTCCACTAAGCTGGGTGACTTTTAGTAAATCATTTAATCTAAACATCAGTTTCCTGGTCTATACAAGGGGGCTAATGGCACCACCCATAATAATCCTCCCTTTGTATCATTTGTGTGCCCTTAGATGTTTCTGATTGAATGTCACATAGAATAAAATCCATTTCTCTTACTCATCTTTGAGACTTGTACATAGCAAGACAGGTACCTAAGCCCCTAGATGCCTTTTAAACTACACTGAACCTCATTTATTTGTGGGTTGTTTTTAATTTGAGGAGGGGGGAGAAGAAACAGGGTTGAACCCAGAGCCTTCACACTGAGTTACATAGATACATCTCCAGCCCTTGGTGAAGTTGAGGGGTGGGAGGACAAGGTCTCAAGTTGCTAAGTTGCCCTGGCTGAGCTAGAACTTGGATCTTCCTACCTCATCCTCCCAGGTGCTGGCATTACCAGTTTGTGCCTCCACACCCAGCTAAACTTTTTGTGATAAAATAAGGGTGTTGTAAAACTTTAAAATATGTAAATAGTTGCTGTTAGAGTTATTAGAGGAAGTGAGGTTAGTTTGCCATGTCTTGGTCTGAGTGAAGCTTTCTGCTCACTTTATTTCCTAAGGGCTTACAAATAATCATCTTTTTAGGCTTTTACATGAAATTTATAGACTTACTAGTCTATACTTTAAAATCTAGTTGCTTCCTGTTTGGAGAACTTAGGTCTGCATCTACTTTTGGACTGCTATTCTCCAGAGATTATTTCAGGTCACAAAGAATAATTCTGTAATTTAGTTGCAAATTCTTTAAAAATCTTGAGTCCTTGGCAGGGGAGATGGCTCAGTAGAATAAGCGCTTGCCTGGCAAGCACAAGGTCCTGAATTCAATCCCCAGTACCACAAAAAAAAATCTTGAGTCCAAGCACTTAAACACACAGTAATCAGATACCCGCTCTCTTATCAGTACCAGGCTGAGCCTCAGCTCGCCTCTAGCAGTTGTTACTCCCCTGGGCTTTCGAGGTAGCACAGGGGCAGAGCACTTACTTTCCTGGCATGTGCAGGACCCTGGTCCAAGCCCCAGTACCACCAGAAAAAGGATGAATTTTGTTAAATACCTTTGAAATAGTATGCCCCTTCCAGTTTGGAGAACACAGCGGGAATGACCCCGCCCCAGGCCCAAGGATGTCAGGGAGCAGAGCCAGCCTTGACCAGGAGGCGCGCCCTGTGTCACTCACCAGCCTGTACAGTGTGTCCGTCTCCTTGTCCACCACCAGCAGCGAGGTCTCATCTCCTCCCTTCCTGATCAGCTCCACCACACTGTCGTGGTCCAGGCTTTCCACAGACTTCCCATTGACGGCAACTAACAGGTCATTCTTCTTCAGGCCAGCTGCCTCTGCGGGACTCCCAGAATCTATATCCTTGATGATTTGACCTGCAGTCCCAAAAAATGTTTAATTATCAGAAAGATACTAAACAAGCTGGAATTTCTGTTGGGGTCCAAGGCCCTGATGAGACAGACAGAAAAGGTGTGCTGAGCACAGCCCCAGTCCCCGTGCATCCCAGCACCCTGTCTAGCCTCCTCCCCGGGGAAAAAAGCCAGTGACAGGATTTTTTTTGTTTTGTTTTCTTTTGTTTTTTGGTGGGACCCGGAATTGAACTCAGGCCCTTGCGCTTGCCAGGCAAGCGCTTATTCTACTGAGCCACCTCCCCAGCCTAAATGACAGATCTTAAAGGAGTAAGAATCATGTTGTTACTAAAAACATCTGACACTCAGTCATGACAGAATAAACAGAGCCAACAAGAAGGGTCATCAGATTCCCAGGAAGTCAGTGAGTATACTCTTATCAATAAATCTTACATAGATGTTAGCCCATGAACAGGGAGGAAAGATTTCAGAAACCATCCTGCCTAAGTAGCAGTCAGGTGTCCAATTGAGGGTGCATTGCGGATGCATGCTTCGGGGAGGTGACTTCAGCTATTGGACCAGGTGCCTGCAAATCTCTCACATCTTTCTTTGTCCCTCACTATGTTTTTTTTTCAATACCCCTGTTACAATGCCATGTTACAGTAGCCACAGTAGTTTCCCAAGACATTTTTTTAAAATCATTTATTTGGTACAGTCTCGCTACACAGCTCAGACTCATAGTGATCCTCCTGTCTCAGCTTCCCCAGCACTGGGATTACCAGCGTACACCACCACACCTGGTTCTGGGGCTGGCATGGTATGTGGTACCAGGGTTTGAACCCAGATCCTTGCTCTTTCCACGCAGGCCCTTAGACCACCAAGCTGTCTCCCCAGCCCACCCAGGACATTTTCTAACTGATAAACACTGCCTAAAAACTTCTATCAATTCTGAGCTGAGACCAAATGCTTTCCCTTGGCCTTGAGGTTCCCTCATTTCTCTCCAACCTACCTTTCCAACCTGAAGTCTTGCACAATACACTGGGTGCCAACCACACTGTGCCCATGTTTACATGACTCTTGCCTTCCTGGGATCACCTGCCTCCCCAGCCCCCACTCTCTCTACTTTGCCCAAATCCGCCCATATTCTAAAGCTTGAGCTCGAGGCCCAGGTCACCCATACCCGGCAGAGGTACAGTAGTACTAGTATCTTTTAGTGGGAAAAGCTTGCTCAGACCTTGAGTTCCCACAGTGGTTTATCTGTCCCTAGATTCAGACGGTCATCTGCCTTCTGTCCCATCTCCTGTACTAAACATGTTCCTTGACTGAAAAATCCTATTTGATTCACATGGTATCTTCAAAGGCCCTAAAAAAAATTTTAAATAACATAAAATAATAATTGATAATATAAACATAATGAAAAGAAAATAGCCACTTCTAGGCAGGTATTGGTTTGCATGGCTTGAACGTGCGTTTATGTATCCACCTTACTTCCCAACTGTATAAGTGGTAGAACTTGGGTCCACAAAGAAGCAGAAAGACTCCGGGTTCTGTTCCAATCCCAGGTCCCGACCCACACCTCTGCCTAGACCTGGGCTGGAACTGCTCTCACAGGATCACAAGAGCCAACTCCATACACACTGCCAAATGATGAATGGTGTAGATACTCGCACAACAAAAAAGACACTTTTCAGGAAGCCAATCAACCAACACATCCCTGCCTCTACCTCATTGCTCTGCTTACGGAAACTCTGGGATCGCGGTATTAGGCTAGGCCTGCATGTGACAGCTTGCACCTCCTAATTCCTTGCTGCTCTTATGGGGGGTGAGGGAGAAGTTGGCCTATGATGACTTGAGAGTACTGTGATGAAGAATTGGGTGGTTTCTCTGCCTGGTATGGAGCTCGGTTAGTGCCTCACCTTTCTGTTCCGGCCCTGCCCGCAGATAGAAGCCATAGCCGTTGCTTCCCTTCTTCATCTGCACCACTCGAGGCTGGTGGGGCAGCAGTCTCAGACTAGCTGTTTCCCTCTTGAACTGTATTTTTTGTTCACTGTGGTACTTGTCAGTGTCTTTGTCCATAAGAAGGAACACAACACGGTTTCCTGACTTCTTCACCTGCAGCAACATACACATTTGAGGAATTTCCAAAACCCTGCTGGGGAGTCTGGTGGTTTCTGTAAAAAGGCCTAGGCTTCGGGTTCAGCAGAAAGCACGGGCACGGCACCTACTTTTAATCCGTAAGACTGCTTTCTACAGCCAGTTGTTATTTATCTACCTCCACTCCTGTAGTTGCTCTTTATCCCTTCAAGTACAACCTCATCCACTCAGCTATTAGTGAATCCAAGACAGAACTGAAATTCAGAAAACCCAGAAAGATGTGTAGGTGAAGACCAGAATAGGAACTCGGAAAAGGATACCAATGATCCACGCCAAAAGATCATCTCTCTACCAAGGGAAGAGAAGGCTGGTGAATTTAAGGTTCTTTATGACTTAGGGAAAGTGTCCCAGTATTTCGGTGTCATGCGCCTTCCAATATCTGCACTGTGGCTCTGCACAGTAGCCCCCGCCACCCGCACTTTCTGCAGTTTCAGTGACCCGAGTTCAGCCACTGTTGGGCACATTCAATGGAGAACTCCAAACGTAATTACTGTGCATTAGAGTGTTGAGCGCCTGTACAAATCATCCCCTTTCCCAGTGTGTCCCTGCTTATTGCCCATTAGATACTTCCTGTACACACATGCCAGTGATAAAGTTCAGCTTATAAATTAGGAACTGCTGGGTTTGGTAGAACTCACTTGTAATACCAGCACTCTAGGAGGCTGGGAGGCTGAGGCAGGAGAATCCCAAATTGCCTCAGCCTGGGCAATTGAGCAACTTAGTGAGATGCTGCCTCCAAAAATAAAGAGCCAGCGATGTAGCTCAGTACAAAGGCCCTGGGCTTAATCCCAAGTACCACCCCACCAAAAAAAAACAGTAAGTGATAACGATGAAAAAAAGCAGCTATAATAAGTTATTTAAAACTTGTACATTGTGAATTCTGTTTCTGGAACTTTCCACCAGGTATTTTCAGATGTGGCCGACCACAGACAACTGACACTGCAGACAATGAAACTGCACAGGGGGACTGGATGCTTACTGGATAAAGAAGATCCGAAAGAAAAGAGAAATGCTTCTGTAGACCTGAAGGCTTTATTCTAAAGCTCTGCACTAACACTGTTTATGCCCCTAGTGAATCTGTTTACCCTTAATACAAAGGGGCAAAGAATCTTCCCATCATAACTCATCCCAGACCCTACCAACCAACCTCCTGCCACTTCCGAGGTGAGTAAAAGGATGGGAAAAGCGGCCTGGAAGCCAGGTTACCTTTTCAACCACTTCCTCGTGGCTGGCATTCTCTACGTTCTCTCCATTCACCTCGATCAGATGATCCTCTGGGAGGACTCCAGCCTTCGTGGCCACGCCATGGGGTGTTATGTCAGTCATGTGCACCCCCTTCTTACCTAGAAGCCAGTGAGAGACTGAGCGTCAGGGCACAGAACTGGAAGACCAGTGTCTAGGGAGACTTTTTCCTAATAATGTGAAACTAGGACTCCAATCATAGAGCTAGCTCAGCGCTCGGCTTTTGATCTCGAATCAGTATACAGCTCCTAGCACAAAGCTATTACTCAGCAGATACTTGATTTAATTAGGATTTGAGTCCAAATAAATCAAGGAAAGAACCTCAAGTGACATAAAGTGCCAAACCATGCCCACCATGTGTCATCCTTGCACCCTGCTTGCTTTCTTGGTGTCTGGTGACTGTTGCAAAGTCACCTATTCTGCTCCCTCCTCCTCTAGCGCTGCCACCAGGTCAGAAGCACAGGAGGAAGGGAAGAGCGAGCCCGTGTGTGTCGATGGCATGGTCTGGGCGGCACTCAAACACAGCCAAGTCTTTCGAGATGCAAATATTTCAGTGTAGGCAAAATGACTACAAATGACTTATACAGGATAACTCATTCCTTAGGTACTTCACATTTCTCTTGTTATCTTGTATGTCTCTGTCACAAAGAGAACATTTTCTTCATACAGCTAACACAAACCCTGAGCATTAGCACAAGAGCCAAATGAGTAAACTCTGCATTATTTTTTTTTTTTTTACCGTTTTACAGATAATGAATTTTTACAAAATGCCAAGCTTCCTTGGAGTACCCATAGCTCTGTGCTTAATAACTAGAAAATTTGAGAGCTCATAATTTGTTTCTCTCTCCTGCTACAGGTTAGCTTATTATTGGTGACAATTTCAAGTTTATTATTGGCTTGCTTCTTTATCATTTACTAAATTATGCCCGATTACCAGTGCCAGCAAAGCACTGGGCAGAGGGCAACATCTGAGATGGCACAACCAGTGAACCTGGAAGACTCTGATTCCAACCAGTGTCACAGGGAAGTCATTGTAGAACCCGGTCAGCTGAGCACGGATCAGCCTGCACTTCTAAAATTATGGAACAGGATCTTCCTGACATCAGGGTTTTTCCAGTCTGAATCTCTCTTAGCTAGAGGTCAGAAGCATAATTCAGAAGGCTACAGTGGAAGATACTATTTTACTGTTTAAATGTCACAGAAAGGTGGAGATTTTTGCAGTATCCTCAGCAACTATTAATGTCATCTGGCATATCAATGGGTAGAATAAACAAATATCTGGGCACTCTCAGCAATGAAAAGAAATACTGGTCTTTCTCAAAATTAGCTAATAAAATCTTTTTGTTTCCCCTCCACCTTCATCCTAGGGGAGCTAGAAAAGGATTCAGAAGTGTCAGCCCTCTAGCCTTAAGGTGCCAACCTAGAACTGGGGCACAGGAGTGCCCAGGGACCACCCCAGATTGCCACCATCCAGTGTCTCATCCCAAGTTGCACAACTATGCCAGGCAAGAGAATGTGCCAGAGAGGGAGGAGGCAGAGAAGCTGCCATGGGATGGCTAAGGCGACTAAACAGCTAAAGGAGGAGAGTCATCCACTGGTGACAACGTCCTACTTCTGGAAGGCCAGTGCCAGAGCCCCCAGCTCACCTTTGACAGTTTTCAGAGAGAAGCCATAACTGTTCCCCTCCTTCACCAGGTAGCAGAGCCGTGGCTGGGTCCAAGTTACTGCTCCATTCATCACAGGGGCCACTTTCAGGTCATTCAGATCCAGCTCCTGGCTTTGACCCAACTCTTTCAAGTCAACCCCTTTTTTCACAGCTTTCTCATAGGAATCCCCATCCAGGACCAGTAAAGTCACTGAATTCCCACTTTTTCTGACGAGATCCACCACCTAGAAAGGGGGGAGAGGTAACTTGAATATTGATAACCCTCCATCAACAGCAAGAGGGAAATTCCACCTTCCCCACCATACTCCTAATCTTCACGTGCAAATTAGGAGGGCCTGGCACTGTTGGAATCCAGGGAGCACCGACAAGGCCTGCACTTTTCTAGAGGTGAATGATACCCCCCAGCACAACAGGCAGGTCCCCAGCTCTAAGGGGGAAACAGGAGCGACAAGGCAATGGGGCAGTACTGGAAGAAGACCCCATGTAGCCACTGCGCAAACATGCTAGCAAGCTAACTTAACTATGCGTAGCTTCCTTGTCTGTGAGGCAGTAATATATACTTGATGAGGTTATGAGAAGGTTTGAACAAGACTAGGGATACAGAAGTGCCTTTGCATAGTTACTGGCATATATTATTTTTTTTGCAGTTTTTAGTTAATCATAGGGGACTTGATTGACCATCGTAAATTATAAGGGTAAATCCTTGCCATCAACAGCAAGGAAAGAACCATGTTCTACTGACCCCAAAAATCATAATTGGCAGAGAAAATGTTGAGGCTGAGGAGATCCCAGCAGAGCGCCAAGTATCTCAGTCACCTGCGCGTGTTCTTCCTTGTCCACGAAGACACCATTAATCCTGAGCACCCTGTCTCCGTCCAGGAGCCCAGCCTTCTCTGCCGGGCTTCCCTTCTCTATCACCCGGACCAGGTGCCCGTCTGTGTCCTTCTCAATGCGCAGGAAGAAGCCATAGCTTCGCCCTTCCGGTTTGGCCAGTTTACATTCTCGGGCATTAAAGACAGCAGCCATTTCTGTAGTGGAAAATGAATGCATGAGAAAACAAACCTTTGATAGTTTTCACAGAGAAGCCGTAGCTGTTCCCCTCCTTCACCAGGTAGCAGAGCCCCGGCTGGGTCCAAGTCACTCCTTGGACCATCCTCGGTCCCTTCCCTCCTGGAAGGACAGGAACAGATGACCGTGCAGGGCTCAGAGGGAGTGGGAGAAGAGCAGTAAAGGAAAGGAAAAGCTAGCAGGAAGGAAGATCTAATCGCGTGAGAACCCTGACCTTTATGTCCCCTGATTCTGTTCTCCTGTGTTCCAGTTTGGGAACACTGGGGATATGGGAGGCCAGGGCTTGCTAATGATAGCTTTAATTGGTTTCCCTACGGTTGATGTTTTTACTTCTGAAGTTTCCCATGGAGCAGAGCAGGGATGCCGAATCAAAAAGGTTTCTCTGTGGCCCTGGAGAGCTCCCCTCCTACAGCAGCCCATTTCCCGGCCTCCTGCCCTCCTGCGGCCCCCCTCGCAGGATCAGGGTCCTGAGTTTCAGATCCAAATAGTCAAGTACTGTACGCTAATGGTTCAATTTCTGTAGCTCAGACCAAACTGTTCTTTGCCCTCTGACTAAAAAGAAATTAAATTTTAACACATATTTCAAAAATTTTAAGAAAAAGTGGGCCTTCTTTCATTCACATTATCTGAAGATTCTATCAAGTTCCGGGCACTAAAGACAAATCTGTAGAAAGAGATGCATACTTGTCTTCCATCAGAGGCAACATAGTTACGTTTTACAACATGTGGTAAGTGTTGTATTAAGAACAGACTGGTATGAGAATATAACAATAGGTCTTTAGCTGGGCATAGTGGTGCATGCCTGTAATCCCAGCATTTAGGAGGCTGAGGCAGGAGGATCATTGTGAGTTCAAGGCTAGCCTGGGGTACACAGCAAGTTCAACAACAGCCTAAATAGCACTGCGAGTTCCTGTCTCAGAGGGATGGGGGTGGGAAGGGAATGCAGTGAGAATTAAAAATGGCTTCATGGAGAAGTGAAGGGTTAGCAGGAGTCAGATAGGGTCAGACAGGACAAGGAAGACCTCAAACAATTAAAAACCAAAGAATATGCCTCCGAGCTGGCCTGATAAATTGGTGATGCAATAGGAAAGTAGTTGTACGGGACTCTGAAGTTTCCCATGGAGCAGAGCAGGGATGCCGAATCAAAAAGGTTTCTCTGTGGCCCTGGGGAGCTCCCCTCCTACAGCAGCCCATTTCCTGGCCTCCTGCCCTCCTGCAGCCCCCCTCGCAGGATCAGGGTCCTGAGCCAAGGGAGGATGACTGGCCAATGTGAACAACACCGGTTCACTGGCCTCCAGTTACTGTGAGAGGAAGTCGCAGCCGCCCAGAGCCCCCAGCTCAGTGCTTTTCATTCCATGGAAGATGGAGAATGGGAGCCTCAGCAGCAAGAGACTTGCTTAAGGCAGCAACACTGAACACGGACACTGCCGTTTCAGTGGCTCAGATCAAATTCCTCTGTGCTGCCTGACTAAAATTCAGTCCAAATACACGATCCAAAAATTTTAACAGAAGATGAGCAGAAAGCTGGACTCAACATCTTTAAACCTCTTTGTGTTCCCATATCATAGTGACCTACCTGTGAATCAGAATAAACCATCGGTCCCTTCCCTCCTGGAAGGACAGGAACAGATGACCGTGCAGGGTTCAGAGGGAGTGGGAGAAGAGCAGGTAGACATCGAAGTGCTCCAGGCTCCCTAGTGGCCATGCTGTGGGGCCTTGAGCGCACCACCTCTGACCTTTGTGCCCACAGGAAGGGGGCGGCACAAACTGGGCAAGAAGCCTCCTGCTGCCCCACGACTGTACCACATGGCCTCTGCAGAGTCTGGCAACCACCCCACGAGTGGCACAGATGACTAAGCGGTCATGGAAACAAGAAACAAAGACTCCCCGTTGGCTATCAAGGAGAGAAAGGCAAAGCCAAGTGCTAGCCTGCGACATGGGATTGCTCAGCACCTGCTGCATCCAAAGACAGTCTGTCACAGAGAAAGGCTGCTCAGGAAGAAGGGCAAATTATATAGGTCATTTCGGTCCGTTTCCTCCCTGGCAGGCACCTTCTGACCTCCGACCTTTTATTTCTCTCCCTGCTGGTCTCCAACCTGTGCGGATCAGTGCCATTTGCACCCTGAATCCATGTCTGTGTCCAGGCCCCCTTCTAATTCAGCTTTCAACCCCACAGGGCTGCAAAAATCCCAAAGCGGGGAAGAAAAGCCCTCTTAAATAATCAGGTAACTTCTGGAAGACTTCCTCCAAGTATTTAAAAATTTGAAACATTTCCTTAGGATAAAAAGCTGCTGGATTCAGTTTTTGTGAAGCGCTGCAGCTGGCAGAGAATGCTGGCAGAGAATGCTGACAGAATACTCATTTTTAAAGCACTTACCTCAGACCTCCACTTCTACCTTTTGGTGTCCACCACAGCCACTCAGTGTCTTTATAAGCGAGGACAAAAAGTGGAACTTCCTCACAAGCAAATTTAAATCCTGTGCTTAGGGACAGTGGTGGAGGAATTTTTCCTGTGTCCTACAGGAGACCCAAAAGCTAGACACGCAAGGAGACACAAGTTACTTATTTCTTGGCAAAAATCTCAAGCTGTACTTTATTTTGTAGGTTAGTCAAAGTTTCCAAGTAGCCAGGCTGAAAACACTCCAACCTGCCTCAGACACTTAGGGTCAGAGGTTTTCAAAAACAATTTTTTTTTTTTAAAACAGGTTTTTGTTTGTTGCAAAACTAGGGATGTGCAAGAGCTCCACCGCTGAGCTACATTCCCAAGGCACCTCCCTTTTTGTCTTAACATTGAGGCAGGGCCTCACTGACCTGCCCAGGCTGACCTCAGACTTACAATCCTCCAGCCTGAGGCCCCACAGCAGCTGGGATTACAGGAGGGTGCTACCACTTTCAACTAAGGTCAGGGTTTCTTTTCACCTCAGTAGTTGACACTACAGTGAGAGCCAGTTCCTGACAGAAATGCTACCATACCTGTGGGGAAACAGCTGCTGCTTCGAGCCCTGACTGTCTCCTGCCATCTGTCTCCTCCTCCCCACAGCTCAGCCACTAGCGCAGTAGTGGCGAACCTATGGCACATAGGTTATGTTTAAGGCAAAAGATGTTAATGTATGAGGGGTTTTTTTTCTATATTAAAACCTCAGTATTGGGTTTAATTATTGTCAGGTTAAGTGTTGGCACTTCACAATAAATAAGTGAGCTTTTTTTTTTTTAATTTTAGGGAAGGGTCTACAGGGTGTTCAGGGTCTCATTACTAGATTGGACTCATAGTGATACTCCTGTTTACGGCCTCCCAAGAGCTGGGATTACAGGTGTGTGCCACCACGCCCAGTCTCAATTGCCATCTCAGCGTACCACAGGGGCAGGGCCAGCACAGCAGGCCTGGGGATCAAACCCTTGGCCCCTGCATTTGCTTGCAGGCACTTTAATCCGCTGAGCTATTTGGCCGGCCCAATAAGTGGGCTTTGGATTGCAAAGTGAGCACTCATTCTGAAAGGTTCGCCCTCACTGCACTAGAGGCTTAACACCAGCGTCCATAGATGGATAGATGCCCAGACCAAACTGATGAAACCGTAACACGTGAACTGATGGAGAAAGCTAACCAGCACCCCAAATGCCTGTTCTTACACGGTGCTCTAGAGCCCAAAAATATTTATTTCCATTGCTATGTTAGAAAGAGATGATTCTTCCAGGAGCCTCGAGGGCAGGCTCTGGCCTACCTCTAGTCCTTGCTTGATCCAGTCCACACTTTGCTGTTACACTGGCCTCTAAGTCAGGGCTGTGATCCTCGCGTTAGCAAGTCTGCACGCCTGCTCTGGCATTCGAATGCAGGTTTAACCAGGAAGCCCTCTATTTAGGACGTGTTTTCCTTCTTCGCTTCCCCACCCCATCTGCTGCTGCCTGAGGAGATCTGGGCATCAGGCCTCTATGGGAGATACCTAGCTACCCAGTGAAGACCTGGGTTTCTACAGTACCCAAGCTAGCAACCACCCAAAGGTGTAGTCCATTAAATCTTCAGCAGGCTTTAATTCCCAATTCAGAAGGCCAAAATACTGTACTAGAAATGAAAGAAAGAAAACTGTAACTTTTCTCAGCTCTGGGAGGGGGAGTCAGTGCTTGGTCACAAGGTCGCTTGTCTGTGGGAGCCACAGCAAAGCACCAGCTGGCAGGGAGCACAGGCTCAGAGGTGGGAGCCAAGGAGATGTGTTCCTCATCAATCTGAATTATTAATTGTGTTAACCCCACCTTCCACTTTATTCCAAAAGTGTTAGATTATTGCTATCAGGGAAAGGAATACACCATAGTACAGAAAATTAAATACACTTTTTAAAAATATATTTGCTACAGGGTCTCCCTACACAGCTCAGACTCATAGTGATCCTCATGTCTCAGCTTCCCCAGTGCTGAGATTACAGGCGATGCTGCCACACCCAGTCTCAGAAGCCAGCTAGCTCAGTATGGCCGGAGGTGGGGCCAGCTTGGCATGTGGTGCCAGGAATCAAACCCTGGTCCCTGCACTTGTTTAACCAGGTGCTTAGTCTGCTGAGCTATCTCACCAGCCCTAAATATACTTTCGAAGTTAGAAATATTAGATGATACCCACAGAGTGGATAGGATCTACCTCGTGATATAGTCAGTGTAGAAAAAATTAAAGCCATGAGGCTTTTTCTGCAGGAAAAAAAAAAAATGGCTGGTGAGACCCAGGGGACTTCTTCCAAGCCCAAGGCAGGCCAAGGTGTCTCGGCTCCCAGCCTTCCACCCCCACGGAGTGGCACGTGATCCTTCATCCACACCCGCCCTCAACACCACCTCTGGGAGCAGTGCCAAGGAAATCATAACTGAGATCCAAACAGCCAGAAGGGGTCAGCTTCACTGGTCATGGCCAGGAGGAAGTCTCACCTTCCCCTCTTGTGGGTGTGAGCTACGACCAGCAGGGTTTTCCTCAGCAGAGCATGCAGGAGTAA